AAGCCTTTGTGGATATGGAATCAGTGGTTTATAAGGAGGGGGTGGAACATAAACTTTATCTTTGACTCCTCCCTTATCTTTCACTTCTTGGTTTTTTTGTTTCTCAGGTTATACTAATTCCTAGGGGTGGAAAACGGGCATGCCCGCCCTGTTTAGGCCTGCCCCGCAAAAGCCCACAAAAAAACGAGGCGGGACGAGGCGGGCATAGTTGAGGATAAGGACCTAAAACTTAGGCCCACCCCACAAAAATATGAGTGCGGGGCGGGGAAAGCCCGCGGGCACTGCACCTTTTAGGTCTAAAAATATAAAATTTTATGCTAATAATCATGCCCACAAAATCCCGCGAAGAAAACGGGGTGGGGTGGGCGGTTACATTAGAGGGTGAGGGCCTAAGTTCTTGGCCCGCCCTGCACTAAAGTGCGGATAAAACGGGCATTCCCAACAGGCCGGGCCCATTTTACCACCCCTACTAGTTCCTCTACTTGGTCTGTAGACACAACGTTTTTCTTAGAAGTTTTTTATTCACCCGACGTTGGTTTTACATGTTCGTCATAAGTGGTCCCACTTCGTAGGGTAATAACGTTAGCGTGCCCTCTGGGGTTTGGTTGAGGTTATCCAGGAAATTCCTCTCCAAGTGTGTCCCGGGAGGCTTGTTGTTGTGCCACTTGTGAGATTTGGGTTTCAAACATATTATTGTGAGTGATTAGCGAATCAACCTTAGTTCCTAATTGTGTAATAAGTTCATTTACATGAATGTTCTGGTTCAGGAATTCTTTGTTTTGCTGAGTTTGAGCTAAAATGAAGTTATCCATGATTTTCTCAAGGTCCAACTTTGGAGGAACAACCTGCATAGGTTGGATTGGTCTTTGAGCTTGAAAACCTGGTGGTCTTTGAGGTGTAGAGCTCTGAATAGGGTTATTGTTTTTATAGGAGAAGTTTGAGTGATTTCTCCATCCAGAGTTGTAAGTGTTTGAAAACGGGTTTCCTTGGGCATAATTGACTTGATCGATGTTTGATTCTGCTAACAGATTGCATTACACTGCAAGGTGTCCTTTGGTTCCACATATTTCACATTCCGGGTGGACTGCAGCTACGGCAGCTGTAGGATTTGTAGACATGTGTTCAACTTTCAGGGCTAGAGCGTCCATTTTAGCTTTCATCATGTCCATACATTTGACCTCATGTATCCTCCTTTGGTCTCCTTTTTCTCCACTGATGCTCGTTTCGTCTCCCATTGGTAATGGTTTTGAGTCATATTTTCAATGAGAGCGCAAGCTTCGGGGTAAGGTTTGTTCATCAATGCACCACCAGCGGCAGCGTCGATGGTCATCTTTGTGCTATAGTGAAGTCCATTATAGAAGGTGTGAATAATCAACTATTGTTCTAGACCATGGTGTGGACAAGCTCTTAATAGTTCTTTATATCTCTCTCAAGCTTCAAAAAGTGATTCACCTTAATTTTGAGTGAATCTGGTTATTTGGTTTTGTAGGACAACGATCTTACTTGGGGGAAAATATGTAGCAAGGAACACTCTCCTGAGGTCTTTCCAAGTTGTTATTGAGTTTGCTGGAAGGAAATCTAACCAAGATCGTGCTCTATCTCTGAGGGAAAATGGAAATAGTCTTAGACGTATCGCCTCAGGCGAAGCACCATTGGTTTTGAAAGTATCAGCTAATTGGATAAAAACTTTTAAATGTTGATTCAGATTCTCTATAGAGAGACATGTGAATTGGTTTTGTTGTATAGTTGAAATAAAGAGGGTTTTAGTTTGAAATTATTAACAGAAATAGTCGGGCTTACGATACTAGAACTGGGTTCTTCGTTAGAAGGTTGGGAGAATTCCTTAAGGGGCCTTCAGTTTTGATCTTCGTCCATTGCTCTCCTAACTCTTTGGAGTAAGATACGTGTGCGAGCGTATCTTTCAGGTTCTGCTATTGGATCTACTAAACTTTTGGTACTGCAAGTTCTTCACATTTACCGGTTAACAGGGCCTTAGTCTAGACGGTGTAACAATATGGTACGGAATTTTGACGTAGTTGGTCCCCGGCAACGGAGCCAAAAACTTGATGAGTTGTATCTGCAAATATACGAAAAACATCAAAGTAATACAAAATATTATCGTTCCCACAAAGACCAATTGTCAATCTATCGATTACTATTGTTACGATGTTTATCTAAGGCAAATCAAATAAGTATTTTGAGTGCATAGGAAAAGAAATAATGAAGAAAATAAATTCAGATAAAATGCAGGCTTAAATATAATTCGCATCAGTCAAGCAGTAATCCAATTGTTTCTAAATAGAACTACTTATAGGGCAATATTTTCTACTTTGAAAAGAATCAATTTGACAAAAAATGTCGCTTTCGCGTATTCAGAACCAAATTTACTCTCTAATTAATGCCTTCCATTGTCACTTATGAAAGGTGCTTGTCGCGTTAAAGTAGTAAACCTATTTTTAAGAAATTAAACTCTTGACTAAGTCGAAAAGTGATTTTGATTTGAAACGTTTAACTTAAAAGGGATCCACGAATTTCGCTCAAGGAACCGAATTTTAAACCTATAAACGCGTCCGAAGATAGTTTCAAAATCATTTTCTAATAGTGTTAAAAACTCCTAATTAATCAGACAAAGTGCTTTCGCTATCTTTGACCAATTAAAACTAATTAAGTTTATCTTTAACAGTCGGACGACTTTCGATCTTACCCAACTATATTTCGACTCTACTTTCGTAGTTACCGATCAAACTAAGTACTAAAAACTTGAATTAAAACCAAAATAGCCCCTAAAGCATTTCTACATATACGACATGTGGAGTACCATCATATTGACGATCCTTACATCCTAGCCCTTAAAGTTTTAGCCAAACATGAAAACAAGAATCAACATAACGGAATAAATCATGTTGAAAATAAGTGCTAGGTATGCGGATGATTTTTCAAATATAGACAAAGGTAAAGAAAATGCTTTGAAGATAAAATTTTTTATAAAACTTAACAAGCAAGTAAATCGTACAAGATAATAAACAAGTAAACAAAGACAAACCAAGAAAATAAATAATGTAAAGCAAGTGCAAGGTAAGTAAAATGTAAATGCGAAAAACTTGAATCAGAAACTTGCTCCAAATCAGAGATTTTAAACTGATAAACTTGAAAGTAAACTTGACTGGAAAGTAAAATGGAGGCAAGATTAACAATACAATGCTCCAACCTAACTACAACTATGGTGCGATAATCCCCCGATGTGAGAAATTATTGCTTTTACAATGGTGAGTTTAGGCTTAGTGTTGCAGACTAAGTTGGGTGAAAAAGAAATGAAATGAGAAACGCCTATTTATAGAAAATCGAAATCCCTTGAAAAGACAAAGTTGTCCTCCAACCGCTCTTGAGTGGGACGGACTCAAGGAAGACGGCGTATGCCATCTCTGCTTGGCGCCCACCATATGAACACATGGAGAAAATCGTGGTTACGTGACAGTTGACCACCGGTTAACAGCTTACACATCATGGCACCTCCCTTGACAGCCGTCATGTTGAACCACATTTTTCTATAAAAATTTCGACTTCTTGCTCTTTTGACTTCGTTTCCTCAAAAAGGGCTCTTGCAAGACAAAGTACCTGAAAATAAGACAAAGCAAACATAAGACAAGAAAATTATAATAAGACTCTAATAAATAATGTGTAATCCAAGTTAAATATACAGTGTGTTTCAATATTATCATATATGCAATTAAATAAATGTAAATGGGTTATGGTTGGTAGAGAATAACAAAATTAATCAAAATTAGTCACTCATTTACCCTTTCGACAATGATTTCCTCCATGCTCTGCAAAGTTTGCATTCAACAATTTAACCTTAGACTTTTTTGTGCAAACGTTTTCTCTCTACAAGTAATACCTCTTTTTTTTATTTTTATCATCTGATCCCATTTTATTTTTTGGCTGGCTTGAGAATCAATATATATTTCCTCTATGTCACATTGTCTTGCTCTGGCGTGCGTTTGAAGTATAAGAGAATTTGGGTCCTCTTTGTGGTTTTTGTCTTCTGATGTTATGACAGCCCATGTAATTCACTTTTATAGTCTCAGACGCCAGTGATCAACTTAAAAATCATCCTCCTGATCCTCTCGAGCATGGTATTAGAGATGTATACTAAGATATAGAAGAAAGCAATAACAAAAACAAAAAAAAACATATTTTCAACAATCTAAACAATGATATCTTTTACTCCCTCCATTTCTTTTTAAGTATCATTTTAGCATAAAGTTTTTCAACCAAGATAGTGGATTATTAGAGTTATTTTTCCTATTATACTCTCATTTATTTTCTCTTTCCAAATAAATTCAATCATACACCATCTCTTTTTTTCCAATAACTAATTGAGAAAATAATTAATTTTATGGAAAATATGAAGTGGAGTTATTGAGAAAGTAGGTATATAATTGACAAATGATAACATTAAACTATAAAAACGACACTTAAATATAAACAAAAAAATTCTTCTACAACGACATTTAAAAAGGAACAGAGGGAGTATTATTCAATCACATTCCACTCCAATGTGCCTCTGCAAGTAACAATTCTGAAGCAGTAATATTTGACGGGCAATTTTGTTAATAATCAAATTTGAAATATTCATTTACTTTCCAATGGTTCACTCATTTATAGTGGTGCTTAACAGTATAAGACTAGAACATAAGCAATATAACACTAGTAATTAGCTTCATAAGAAACGGTATGCAGTATCGTACTTCTAATGATTGGGTAAAAATAATACCCACAGAATTTAGGAAGGAAAACTGAGATTCAAATTCTAACCATGTCCACAATGCAGCACAATCTAGTCGACGACTTCCTCTAATGATTCAGTTTGAATAGAGGAGCCAAAGAATCTTATTTCAAGCCAATGGCAACCATGATGGTAAAGAAAAGTAATATCGGTGGCAGTAAACAAGACTACCTGGCTTTTGTAACTGGTAAGGAATATTAGAATGCTGTAGGCTCTACTTAGAAGGTTTCTCAGAAGATGTGGAACCCTTTTCAACCACTTTGGCAGACCTAGCAGGTTGTTCAGCTTCAACGAGCTCACGTAGTCTTTGTTGAAGTTTGCGTACCCTGTCCTCTGTCCTGCGAAGCTTTCTCCATCTATAGGCAGTCCAGAGACCAAAGCCACCGTATACAACAATATAGGAAGCCCATACATAAGGATAAGCTTCTGCATGCTCTTTGATTTTTTGATACCGTTGTTCCAATGAATCTATAAAGCCCACAGCTGAAGGGCCACCGGCCACTTGATCCTCATCAGTTTTCTGGATGAGTGCTGCAGAACTTAGCGCTTGCTGGTTTTCATTATTTGGTTGATTTGCCATGTTCTTAGCTTGAGTACTCCAGCTATAATTTAAAAACTGCATAATTAATGACACTTTTCAGTATTGGATAATTTGAGAAAATAGAAACGAGTCCTAAGTTGTTAATCTTGGATAGCCCTAAGTAACACCGATCCCCAACAATACTATAACAGTATAGCAGATAGCCGGTATTGCTTAAGCTAAAAATCAGTATACAAAGTAAACATAAATAAACAAAAAAAAAATACAATTAAAGAGACCATCATACTTAATAGTCAAGGAACCTAAAGTATAGACCAATAAAACTAAAGTAGAGAAATAGAACAAAAGGATTGTTTGAGAGAAAAAACATAATATAATAAAGAACAAAACATTACTGTTAAAGAATTCGGATTGAAATTTATACCCTTAATAAAAAGACAACGGATAAAATAAAAGAATTTGATGAATTTTCCCCCAAAATCCTAATAGCAGATGAGATAACGGTTTGGGGCCTGAATTACGCCACAGTTAATGCCTGCTACAACCGCTATTGCTGGCTGACGGTGGCTCGCAGATAGAACAGAGATAAGATATAATATAATGGAGAAAATTATTTTATTAATGAATATGAAAACAGAAAGTTCCAGAGCTACTGCTCCTCAGTCAGAGAAAACAATTATCTCACTGCCCAAACCCTAATATGAAAAACGGCATATAAAAAAATCCTTGTTACTGCCCCATATACTCCTATTTATATGGGGATTACTAATAATGGGCCAATTACCCAATTACTTCCCTTATTCTTTCTCACATATACCCTCCACTATTTAGGCCCTACATTATCCCTGTTAACTAACACATCCCCATCATCACTTGTGGGGTCCGATTCATTCCTATCATCACCCCCACCTGCAACATTAGCCTTGTCCTCAAGGCGCAGATTAGGGAATTGACTTTTCAACAACGATTCCTCTTCCCAAGTAGCATCTCCAACATCCATCCCTTCCCATTGAATCAACCATTCTCTCTTATGCTGTCCACCATCAAACTTGTCCCTCCATGACAAAACCTTAGCCGGAGTAATGTCCCCTTTTTCTGACTCTAAAGTGATAGGTAGCTGAGTTGTAGCAGTATAGTTGCCCACCGCTTTCTTCATTTGCGACACATGAAAAGTAGGATGTATTTTAGATGTTGCTGGTAACTTTAATTTATAAGCAACCTGCCCTTTCTTCTTCATGATTTGATAAGGTCCGAAAAATCTGGGGGCCAGTTTTTGATGGATTCTTTGCACAACCGATTGTTGTCGATGAGGACGTAATTTGAGGAAAACCCAATCACCAACTTCAAATTGCACTGCCTTGCGTCTCTTGTCAGCTTGGTATTTCATCTACTCCCGGGCTTTGAGTAAATTAGCTTTCAGTTGACGCAACGCCTCATCTCTGTCTCTTAACTCCTGCGCTACAGTTTCTACTCTGGTTTCGCCCTCCAAAAAATGCACCAACACTGGAGGCTTTCTGCCATACACCACCTCGAAAGGGGCGAACCCTGTAGACACATGGAATGTGGTATTGTACCACAGTTCTGCCCACGAATCCAGTGTGCCCATGTCTTGGGTTGGTCTGCAATAAAACATCGTAGATAGGCCTCTAAACAACGATTAATCACTTCTGTTTGGCCATCCGTTTGGGGATGGTATGCCGAAGACATTTTAAGCACTGTGCCTACTAACTTGAACAACTCGTTCCAAAAAATACTCACAAACAAGGGGTCACGATCACTAAGAATAGACTCTGGAATTCCATGTAATCTAACCACTTCCTTCACAAAAATAGCAGCTATTGAGCGGGCAGTAAATGGATGTTTAAGAGGAATGAAATGGCTGTACTTTGAGAGACGGTCTACAACAACCAAGATAGCTTCAAATCCATTACTTTTTGGCAAACAAGTAATGAAATCCATAGATATCTTACTCCACACCCAAATTGGAATAGGAAGAGGTTGTAGTAATCCATTAGAAGTAGTTGCCCCATATTTTTGTCGTTGACAAGTATCACAAGCTTTCACAAAATTTTGCACCCTCTGCATCATCCCTTGCCAATATAAAGTTCCTGCCATTCTCCTATAAGTGCGTAGGTAGCCGGAGTGACCCCCACTCGGAGAAGAATTAAAATCTTTGAGTAACTCCTCAATAAGTGGTGAGTTAGCAGGTATAACTAAACTATCTTTGTAGAATAAGATGCCACCTTTTAAAGCAAAACCAGGTTTAGCAATAGGATCCTTTTGAATAGCCTCCACAATATTTTTAAGCAAGGGATCGTTTGCTACTTCTTGTTGCAGTTGGCTGCTCTGTTGCCAAATAGGGTAGGATTAATAGCTTGCAATTCAGCATCCTCGTGTTGTCTAGATAAAGCATCAGCCACTTTATTTTCCACTCCCACCTTGTACACCACCTCAAAGTCAAAACCCAACAACTTAGCCATCCATTCTTGCTGATTTGTTGTGGTAATACGTTGTTGCAACAAGTGTTTTAGGCTCTTTTGATCAGAATAAACCACAAACCTCCTTCCTAACAAATAATGTCTCCAGTGTTGAATAGCTAACACTAAAGCCATCAACTCCTTATCATAGGCAAATTTGGATAACCTAGATGATTCAAATGTCTTGCTAAAATATGCAATGAGATGCTTTGATTGCAACAATACTGCACCAACTCCTTTTCCTGAGGCATCACATTCAATTTCAAACGGAATCTTGAAATTAGGCAGGGCTAAAACTGGGGCAGTTGTAACAGCTACTTTCAATTTCTCGAAACCATCTTTCTTTGTCAATTCTGTCAAGGGTTTAGCAATTTTTCCATGGTTAGCTATAAACTTTCTGTAATAACCAGTTAACCCCAAAACCCTCACACTCCTTTGACATTCTTAGGAGTTGGCCATTGTAATACACTGCTAACCTTGGCAGAATCAACAGCAACCCCTTCTTTGGAAATGACATGGCCCAAATATTCCACTTGGTGTTTGACCGAAGGTACATTTTTTCCGGTTTGCCACAAACTGATGCTGCTTCAGAATATTAAGAACCACCTCCAAGTGCTGCAAATGTTCAGCCCAACCTACTACTATATACTAAGATATCATAAAAAAAAACCAGGACAAACTTCCTTAGAAAGGGCTTGAAAATTGCAATCATCACCGATTGAAAGGTCGCAGGAGCATTGGTGAGGCCAAACGGCATAATCAAAAACTCAATAGTGACCCTCGTGAGATCGAAAAGCAGTTTTATGAATATCTTTTTCCTTGATAACCAGATTTAAGATCAAGCTTAGAGAAATAACTACAACCATGTAACTCATCTAACAGTTCATCTACGACAGGAATAGGGTACTTGTCCTGAACTGTTACCTTGTTAAGTGCCCGGTAGTCTACACACATACGCCAAGATTGATCCTTCTTCTTGACCAAAATGACGGGGCTAGAGAAAGCGCTGGTGCTGTTTCTAACCACCCCTTGTTGCAATAGGCTCTGAATCTGTTTTTCAATTTCATCCATGTGTAAATGAGGATATCTGTAAGGCCGCACACTTACCAGACCAGCACACTGTAAAAGTTCAATTGAATGACTAGTGTTTCTTGGCGGAGGAAGACCCTGGATTTCTTTAAACACAATTACAAAACGTTCCAACAATCCTTCCAACTCCTTAGTCTGTTGATCAGAGACACGTGACACCTGTGACCCTAGCACCTCCATCAAGGTAGGCCATTCACAGCCTGCTATCATTCGAGAAGGAGTGATAATGCTATGGAAAGTGGCCATTTTATCATCTACAGCCTGACCAATTAATTTCACCATACTGCCCTTTTGGTTGACACCATAGACATTTCTTTCCAATCCATGGTTACCTCCCAAAGTTTCCAGCCACACAATTCCCAAAATCAAATCCACACTTCTTAACTCCAACACATAAGCATCAAAACAAATTTGCACCGCTCCCACGTTCATCTGTATTCCATTGCATCTACCCCTAGTTAGGACACGATGACCATCTCCTAACTTAACACCCAAAGGATTAGAAGGCACCATAGGCAATCCAAGGGCTTCAACCACCTTAGGGGATATGAAATTATGTGTGGCTCCACTGTCAATAAGAACCAAAATAGATGCACCTTGTAGACATCCCTCCAATTTCATCGTCCGGACCTGGTTTGGATTAGTGGATACACCAAACAGTCCAATGGTTTTACATTCTAATTCCTCTTGTGTGAGCTCTTCTTCCGACTCAGCCTCTAACACCACAATCTCTCCTTCATCGTTGACAATTTCATCATCCCCTAAGATAATCAATCGTAATTGTTTTGTTGCACATTGATGGAGAGGATCCCATCGTTCGTTGCAACGAAAACAAAGTCCTTTCGCACGAGGCTCATTAACCTCTGCACTTGGTAGATGGCGAACACCACGAGATTGACAGCGTGAATTGTCACCTAAATTTGGGCGAGAAGATGCTGTAGAATTGGTAGGGCGTGTTTGACCCAGTTTGAGATCCAGAACCCGAACCAGTACGCGTTTTGCCCAAATAGTTATTAGTCTGTGTCTGAATTGCAGATCTGTTACCTTCCCCTTCGCGAAAAGCCCAATTAGGTTTTGAGATTTTGTCCAAGAGCCATGACCCTGTCTGTAACGTGATCCAGAATCCTGACCAGCAGCCACTGCAAATTCACTTTCAACATCACGAGCCAATTGCATTTCTAGGTAACGGTTACGAGGCTTGAAAGTACGCACACGAGAGCGAATATCATGACGTAAACCACCAATGAAATAACCAAGAAAATGTTGCTCTGGCAAGCGACCACACTGTGAGGAATACAATTCGAATTCAACAATGTATTCCTCAACTGATCCTGATTGTTTTAGTTCCTTCAATTCCTCAAAAGGATTCTCCAGACGCCCACCTCCAAATTGAACCATCACCGCCTCACGGAGGTTCTCCCATGACAGTTCCTCTGTTGAATTATGCCATAGGTTAAACCAATGGATAGTAGG